AACAGAGGAGAGGAATCTTAAAGAAGATATGAGAAAGATACAATTGAATAAATTATAAAGAAACATGGCATTTATGGAAGATTGGAATTAAAAGGGAATTGATAATTGGAAGAAAAATTAGTCAATCAGATATAAAAATAGAGTGGATGATGATAAATTTAAATCTACCATGCAGAAAATAGCAGAGGATAGATTGGTTTAGACTTAATAGTTTTTGAAAGGGGAGATGGAGTAGTAGATTGAATAATTTGAGAATAGATAACAAGATGAACCTGTTAGTTTGGGATTGAGAAATAAGATGATGAATGAATTCATGAGGAAGGAGAGAGATAAAAGGAGAAGGAAGATGATTGTAGATTAGGAGAAGTAGACAAATGAACTACAAAGAAGAGAATGTTGTGTTTTAGAGAAACTGAAATAATAGAGTAGATAAGAGTAAGAAATAATGTATGAGATATGGAGAGCATTCTAATGTAAAGAAGTGATTTGTGAAAACAGAAATTTAAGAGACGAGAATTATAAAAATAAGTAGGAATTGAATGTTATCAATCGGAAATTCAAGGAGGAAGAAATGTTGAGATCTTTATAATAAGAATTTAATGAAGAAATTGAATTACAATAGAAGAGATAATTAGAAATAAATGTTGAATATAAATTGTTGATTAGACAATAGAATTATGAGAAATGCAGAAAATTAGTTGAAATTCTATTTGAAATTGAAGAATAAGTATATGAACATCTGTAAAATCATGATTCAAATCAAATAAATGAGTAATTCACTAGAGAAAATAATCATTTATTTGAGTAAGGAATGGAATTGATCCCTTACAAAAGATTTAGAACTTATGATCCCATAAAGGAAATGAAGAAACAGGAGAATTAAAATAACTAATAAAAAATGTTTTTGGCCAAAATGGAAATGCAAGACTATTTAGAAGGTACTGGAGCATGGAGTATCTATCAAGCATAAAATAATTATACTCTGGGGAATTTAGTGAGATATTTAATTGAGAGTTAATTTGAAGTTACTGAAACAAAAGAGCAAGAATTACACATTCCTTATGTTCCATTTAGAGGGTCTTTGATAGGATTCGCATTTAGTGGTAAGAGAACTATCAGTGACTTATTGAGCTAGAAGTATGGAATTACTGTATTGTGTGTTGATGTCATAATCAATGAATTATTGGAATACATAAGTATATATCAGTAAGGAGAAGAGCATTCATAGGTATGGGATCAGCAATAAATAGAATTGGGTCAATCGATATCCAATTATCTCTTAGAAGGACAAAATATTCCTGATGAACTATACATCAAAGCTATTGTGTTGAAAATTAAAAGAACATTTCCCTACTAAAAATTCGAAGACAATTATGAAGAGTAAAAAGCGAAAAACCAAAATCATAATGCCAGAACCATAAAAACTATTGATGATTTCAATGATGATGGTATTAATTGGGAAGATTTTCATCGAAATAATATGATAAATAATAAACCTTATTGCACAGGCTGGTTATTGGTTGGGTTTCCTCATACGTATGATTAAGCTAAACTTTTGGAAAAATATCTAACAAATATACAACCATAGGATGAACTTACAGCATTATAAGCTAGACTCGAAGACGCTGCTAGAATAGTTAAACCCAATGAATACCAAAAGGTTCCAAGGACTAAACAGGAGAGTGGAGTAGGAGTTTGTGTGTATTTGGAAATGCCATCTAATGAAATGTGTCTAAGAAGAGCAGTTGGAAGAAGATATGACAATCATAGCAACTTATTGTATCATCTAGATTCCAATCCTCCTCCTGTAGATAATGCTCCCTTAATTGAAAGAATCAAACCTTTATATGAAGTTGACAATCTTTAATAGTAGATCTCAGATAAAAATTCATATTTTATGACTCAAATAGAGGGAGTCAGAAATTGGTATGATAATTTTGAATCCAAATGTGCATCCAATCTATAACAGGCATTCATAAGTATAGATGCATCTAATAATTATGAAAGAGTATTTTATGATGTGGACTAAGTATTCTAAAACTTTCTTTAAATTCAAGTTAATTAAATTTAATAAAAATATGAAGCATAATAGAATAAAATATTGGAGCAAGAAGAATCAATAAAATAATAGTAGGAGTAAGAAGAATCAGATAAAAAATGTTAATTTAAATAAGTTCAATTAGATACATTGCCTGTGAAATAACCAAATTAGGCCTTTTTAAAATACTTAAATGGTTTTTGGAATCTAATTGAGAATAAGTACATGTCCCTTTAAAATGTTTTCAAGGGATTCAGAGAACAAAGAGAATTCATTATCAATTATCAAATGGATATTTAGCGCAAATTCATTGATTTGATTAACACGCCAGATGAAAAGTTTTTTTTCATTAGAAATTTTTAAGAATAATACAACGAATTTGTTTTGGAGAATCCAGATTTATGTGAGGAGGATATTTGTAAGGAAGAATTACATTAGAGAGTTGATGACTTATATGATTAATTAATAGATTTAATTGATTAAAAGAGAGATGACTTAATAGTAGAGAAATAACAAATATAAACTTCACAATTTATAGAAAATGAAATTGATCTCTATTTATAGTAATTGAAGTCAATGCTGGCAATTGAATTAGATAGAGCATAGAATTCGATTTAATTATTAAATGATTATTATAGTACATTGGAAGGCATTGAATTATCGGATATTTAACCTGGTGTTGGAGAATTACAATTGATGGATGGAGATGATCCCTAAGTTAGATTAGATAAATTGATAGCTGATGCTTTGAGAATATTTGCAGGAGAAGAGGAAATCGTAGAGGACAAAACTAAGAAAGGCGGTAAACAACCAGCAAAGAAAGAAGAGAAAAAGGGAAAAAAAGGAAAGGAAGAGGAAGTTATTAAGAAGGAACTATAAAATGCTGAAGCTGTAAATGCTATCAATTTAGAAAAACAAATATTTAAAGAAAGAGTTGATGTGATCAAAAGATTTGCTACTTAAACTATTCTGAAATATAGATAGGCTGCTGATCTATTATATTCTAAATTAGATGAATGGATACATTACACTCATTTGACTGAAATCAAAGCATTAGATGCCATTTCTAATCTATTCAGAGGGTACATAGAGAGATGTGAGAGAATTTAGAAGGAACTCTAACTATAGTTTGTGGATGTCATCATTAGTCATGAAGTGCTTAATTTCTTGACACCTATTCCACCTCCCTTGACCGCCAGAGAACCTTTATCGAAAGAAAGATTTTCCATATCTCAATTATACTATTTAATAGAAGACTTAAGAGCCATTACTAGTACTCACTTGCTCATTGATATCAAACAACTTGCTATACTTTTGTCTAGATCCTCCTATGGTGTACTTAAATTCACTCCTGCATAATGGATGCGAGCTCTAAAAGTGCTAGATCAAAATGGGTATTTCACCATTTCTATTCAATTATAGTTATGTCAATGTCAGATAAATATGTACTTACCTGATCTTATTACAATCCCCAACTCCAAAGGAAGAGGAATTGCAAATGTATTAAGCCTAATTAAATGGGCCTTTGGTTGATAAGGAAAACTTTGTCAACACAGCAGCTTGGTTTGATGAATTTGAGAGGGCTCCAGAGGAAGAAAGTATTTATTATATTAAAACATTTAGACACAAACTACTTTGATAGAATTATATATATCAAAGAGCTTCTCTTCTTTATTCATAAGGATGAAAATAATTAAATTGCAATAAAATAATATTTAGACATTTTAAATATAAAAGGAGATAGATACTTCGACTTTTTGTTTTAAAATCTTCAAGAATTGTGATATTTTCATTTAGATTATATTTTATATCTAAGACAACAATCAAATTTATATCAATTGTATAGACATATAATTCATCTCTGAGCTGAGATTCTCGGCCTTGATACTTTCTTAACCTCATTCTCATCTTATGTCGCTTGTTCCTTAAATTATTACTGATATGACGAGATTTCCTCTAATATTTTATCATTTGTTTAATAATTTAAATTTAGCTCAAAATCGCATTACGAATCCAATCTATAAAGCAAGTAATCAATATATTGATTAAGTTCACTTAGACCTTTGATTATATGAATGTATACCACTTTGCTAAAATTATGCGATCAATACTTAATCAAGATTATCCAAAGTCTGCAAATTTTAATTAAATAGCATTTTGCTAATGATGGGTATTCGATCCTCAGGATTGATATTTAATTTATGAAACTCCTGTTCCACTTTTTAAATAGCTTCAATTAATTGTTTTATATTATTCATAATATTCAAAAGTCAATTATCCCCTATAACAACTCCAGTCACTAAAATTTCTCCATTACTATCAATTGTGTACTCCTGGTTCCATTAGATTGATTAGGAGGAGGAGGATGATTCAAAATCCAAAGTTAAATGGTTCAACCGACTGAATGAGATCGGAACTTTGAGATTTGAATTCTTGTTTGATTGGTGAATATTCAAGCAATTAGATGTCTTGTTGCATTATCTGCAATTTCTCCTTCTTTTTCACTATCATACTTTACAGCAATTGTGAATAAGGTTCTTGTTCATTTTCCAAAGTGATTGATGGATGTGGATTTTGAGAGGGAACCAAAGAATGATTTTATTATTATTCTGAAACAGAACTCCCAAGTTGTTATTCAACCTCTTAATGCACTTGAATCTTAATCTATTCTTCTACATACACCTCTTGCTTTAATGGCAAATCAAGATTATTTACTAATATATCTCCATATCATTGATACTAATATCGTTAATCAACTCAATTACTATGTTTATGCTATTAAAGATATTTGTGTTGCTATTAATTTATTCAACAATTTTTTCAGTTTAAATTTATTTTGATTCCCTTCTTTTAATTTACGAGCTTGAACACATTGGTCCCATACTATAAATTATTAATATTTTATAAAAGAAAATAAATCGTATTTTTAATGTAATAACAGAATTACTACACAGCAGAACAACTGGCTTATTTAATTGACAATGTGGAACTAGGGGATAATACTGATCATCTAAAGAAGTTGGCAGATAGAAAAATGATTAGATAATCAAACTCTTAATACAAATTGTAGGATGATATCATTAGAGAATAATATCAATAATCTCATTAATATTAAGAGAAGATTTTGAATACTTATAGATTATTACAAGCATTTACCCATCCGAATATTAGTTAATTGCTTTTTGAATAATTTGATGACGAGTACTTAATTAGTAAAATTGCATTTTACAATTTTAGTTTAAAATACAGCTGAATAATGCATTGAATGGTTTTATAGAACTGACAACAAGGAATATATTTAAGTGATACTCGATATCTTCAATTTACAAAATGACTTTTAAGAAGCAATATAAAAAAAAATAGTTAAAGACATCAAAGCTAACCATGGGAAAGTCTATCTTGCTATTAAACATTTATCAGGGATTTTGGAAGACGCTTTTCTTATATCAATCTATCAAAACTTAATCTTACATTATAGTTTTTGCTATCTTTATGATTTCAAAAACTTTAACAGTATCATCGCTTCAATCTATGAGTTAACTGATTCGAAAGTTTAAATTGTCGAGTCATAATATATGGAATCATTATATGAATAAAGAATCTTAGTGTTTTAAGAACTATTTAAGTTAGACAAAGAGCAACTCAAGAATTGGTAATTATTATTTAATAATTATAGTATACTCTATTCAAAAGTGTATTTGACACCTAAGTTGCAATTTAATCAAATGTTTCAAGAAAGAATCAACAAGGACTTTAATGTTTAAGAGATAAATATAATAGATAATTTAAAATAAGAAATCATTTTGTCACTACCTCAAGTTCCAAAGAATGTCTTGGTTGAGTAATTTATTGGAACAATTGCTTTGAATTACAAAGATTTAGTTAAATATATTGTAGATGTATATTTGGACAAATTGATCTTAGAGTAAAATTCAAAATATGTGTAATGTTTATTAAATTTTATATCTAATCCAGAGTTGAAATCACTCTTTTATTAGAATAATAAGAAGAAACCCTTGTTGAGAGAGACTTTGAATATGTGCATTGAGGAGAGATTTCAAAATTCATTGAACAATTAGGAAATAATTAAATTGACAGTGAAATGTATTCACGATCTATATAAAAATGGATTAATGGCTAGACCTTAATTATTGATATATGTAAAGTAACTGATAAAGCAATTGTGTACTTAACATGCAAATAAGCAGATTAATATCAGAGAAAACATGATATTCTCTGCATTGACAGATTTGTCTAATGTTATTGAGAGCTCTAATAAGGTTAAAGATCATGAAGTAGTTAGCTTAGAAAGAGTACTGAAAGGGATTATTTATTAATATCGATTTAATTGGTTTGATATTGACAATCTTATCACTTTTGAAAGCTTAAGTTTAATTGTGAAATTGATAAATATGTATAATGAAAACTATTGAATTTTAATAAATAAACATAAATCATTATTATTGTTAACGAAAAGAATAGTAAACCTTTTTTTAAGTTTGCACAACCTTATTAAGTTCATCCAATTGCTAAATTAATTCTCCTTTTTCTGCATGAAGATTCTAGATGCTATTTTTTAATTCATCAATCACTTGTCTTAGTTACTCTAATTATGATTAGTATTGTTGATCTCTCTCTTGATCCTTCTTAATCAACTATTTAATCTGAGAATTAGTATCTTATTGTATTATTTTTGATTGTTCCTCATTATTTTAAACTTTTTCTGGTTTAATTAATTTGTTCACTTTCTTATTAACAATATCAGCAATGGTATTATATTTTACATCTATTAATTTTAACATCTTATTTTAATTCTCAATTTGTTTGGCTTCGCTATCTTATATAAGTTTAATCAGGTCCTTTTTATCTTAGACTCTTTGCTGTTGGATTTCATTTAATTGTTTCTATAATTTAATAATTTACTTATTTTGCTGCTTAATCAATGCATCCATTTCAGTCTACTAAGATGATGTTGATTGATATTATTAATTAATATATTGCTCCTACTTCCTTATCTAGTACTCAAGATTCTTAATCTTCATCTCCTGCACTTCCAATAGCTTTTGACTTCGATTAATAGCAATATCGATTTCTTTTTTATATTGTTCTTATTCCAATTATCTCAATTAAGAAATATGTTCCACTTCTTTTTAATTGCTAGCTTATACTGTTGGGCTATCTTATTTTTCTTTGATGATTTCTAAGATCTATGTGTAAATATTATTATTTTGATAAGTCTATTCTCTTAATTTGGTTAGCTATTGTAATTCTTTGTGGAATAAATCCAGCAAATCATCAACCCGTTTATTAGGACTAGTGATAATGCCTTCTAATTGATCAAGGGCTTCAAACAAAATAATGGTTTATTGTTTGTACTCTTGTGAATTCAAAATTTGCTTGCTAACATCTATGATTAAATCCTTTAGATCTTCATTTTGTTTGATTAATTATTAATTTTTCAATAAATCTTTACAAATAGTTTCTAATTTTTCTAAACTTTTAATTTGTTTGGGTTATTTTGATTTACTTTGAACCAACTTTGCCAATAAATCCTTACATTCTTTAATGTGTTCATTGCCTTTTCTGCTTCTTAATTCTGTTGAAATCTATTATGTGATATTCCTGAAATTGTCAAGTAATGATTAGAGTTCTTCACTATTAAATTTATAGAAATTTTCCCTTGATTCATAATTCTTCTCTATTTATTCAATATATTGTTTAATTTTCTGTAAATCTTAAATGTAATGTTTCTCTCTACTCTCGATTTGTTAAGTGAGATATTCACATTTGTCTTTGTTTCTTTGTATCTCCTATTTTAATGTTTTCTCTCTGAGTAAGGATAACGATTTGATGTCATCAGTTGCTTATTTTAATTATTCATTTTCTGATCTCAGATAGGCAATTTGATCATCCTACTGATTGTTCTCAATTTTTGTAGTATATTGAGATTGATTAGATTTAATCTATTAAACTTATTGAATAGTTGAGATTGGTTTAAGATTTTCAATTTATTGAAGGAGAGATTCTTCTATCTTTTGATAATTGCCATTGAAAAGCTTAAATTATTTAATTTCATTTTGGAATTTGGATATTTCTTGAAGAGTGGCTTATAATTGAAGTATGACATCATTTTAAATTTGTTGATCCAATTTAATTCTCTAATTCAATTGAGTAGTGAGTTCCTTCTTTTCTTCGATATGCTTTGAATTTAATGTTTCTTTTTAGGTTATTTGTATTTCTAATTCTCGTTTGTAATAAACTAATTCTGACATATTCTATTTCTGCCATTAAGTTAAGAAATCGTATAAAATGTTGATTTATTAGATGTACTTCTCTTCTTGAGTATAATTATTTAATGCTTTAGATAATGGTTAGAACTGTTGCAATTCTTCTTGCAATAATTGATTTTCGTGTTGCAATTGTTTGATTCTCTGATTGTATTGATTTTGTATTTCTTAGACAGCTTGACTTTATTGCACTTCCATTTCAGATTCAATTGTTTGTATTTTTTGAGTCAATTGATCTTTCTATTGCAGGAGTTGTTTAATTATGTTCTTGCTTTCCTCCAATTGATTTGTGCATTCCAATAATTATTGTTTATACATTGGAGGTGTTTATTGTTTTTGTGTTTGTAATTCTAGATCTCTAATCTTCTATTTTTGCTCCAAGATAATTTACTAGAGCATAATTTCTCTTTTACCTTGACTTGATTAGTATTCGAAGCTGTTATTATTTTACATTATAAATTAATTTAGTAAATAATTATTTCTTATAAGCATTAATTAAGTAAATAATTATTTCATATACTCAATTCAATACATAGAATCAAAATGTTATTTATTAATGTTGTCTGAAATATTGGTGGATAATTTTATGACACAAGCATCTTCGTCGATCTCTTCTTAAAGAGGTAGATTGTATTCAACTTCATTCAACAACACACAGTCCTCTTCGACACTCTTCTGAATAATGGTATTAGTATCTGGACAATAGATGATGTCAGTTCCCAAATTCACTTTGTAGTTCTTTTAAACAAAGGCTTGAATAACTGAATTCTATTAGAATCTATAATTACAATTTTTGTTTTAATCAAAGTTCTTTGGGAATTCTTCGACAGCTCTGTAAATCAAATGATCCAAATCTGAATTGATATAAGTTAATTCATTTGTCATTTGATCAAGTTCCAATTACAAGAAATCTAATTTAGAACTAATCCTCTATGTCATTATACTCAATGCCACTTTACTGACAACTTATTCTGCTATTATTCCACCAATCTAAATCGTTATTTAAACATCTTACAAATAAACCCAAATTCAAATTACTCAATTTAGCCACAGCAACACTTCCATTGAAAAAGAATGATTTAAAAAAGGATTTCCCTGAATCCAAGAATGAATTATTCTTTATTAACCCAGTGGCACAGAATTCCTTTATCTTCTCAGTTGCAATCTCCTACACATTCGTAATGAATCCTTTCATCTATACGATGAATTTAAATAATCATTACAATTTTATCTAAATATTTCTAATACAAAGTTTAATCTTTCTGCCATGTCTAAATTTATTCTACATTGAAATCCACGAACTTATATGTATGTATTCTCCTTAACAAGTCATATGCATATTCAACCTAAGCTTGATAATAGGAGAGATGCACTGTTATTGTATCAACCTGTTTCTCTATTATCATTTTAAACTCTATTACTTAATTCATTTTCGAATATGCTCTCAAACTTTTTGGCATCTATATCGTATCTAAGATTCAACTTCAAATCTTAATAAGTTAGTTTCCTTGCATATGCTTCTCTTACCTTCTCCAAATATTTTTAAAACAACTACTTGTCAATCTATTTCACAAACTCAAACCATTGGTCTTACTCCAAATTTTCATAGACAACATCTCTCCACAATGAAAATGTATTTGGAACAAAAGGCACATTAATCAACTCATAATTTAAACAAGCCTCTGATTTCTCCATAAATTTCACAATATTGTCAAAATTCATTTTATATATTAAATATCATAACAGATTCAGTTATTACTTAAGATAGCACTTTTTCCCATTAAATTATCAATCACACTCGCTTCATAGTCAATTCAACATTTTTCTTAAATTTTATTCAGTTTTATTTGGATTTCCACAGTAACATAACAGATTTCATGTAACCTTCCTATTATAGGTATTTGTAATATTTCATCAAAAACCAAGCCCTTCAATTTGGTGAAACTTGAGAAAACAAAATTTCTTGATTATTTAAATATTTAAACATCGGCAACAAGCAAAAATTGAATTTGTTATATACATAAAAAACTATCATTCAGTCTTCATCTTCATCTTTTTCCTGATGTCTACTCATGTACAAGCGAGCCAATTATTTTGTTTTCATTATTTTTGTTTAAATTAACTTGAAACAAGGTTTTGAAGGATTGAACTTTTAATGATGAGATCTAATCTTATTAAATTTAGCATTACCTGCATTAACTAGGCGTTCTTGTTCCTATGATTTGGCTCATCTTCTTAAATAACCTTTGGCCCTTATTATGATTGCCATTTTCTTATAAGAAGCGAAGATATGATTCATGTTCCTCTTAATTCCAATGTCCGCACTTCTTCTATTACTTTTTAGAACTCTGCGATGTGTCACATTAAGATTTTGTGACTTCTAGGTCCATTTAAGCCATCTCGTTGTTATTTAAATTAAATATATATTCCAAGATTTATTAATATTCTGGATCATTTAAACTCAACTTCTGTTTATTATCCAATTAATCCTCATTCATTTTTGATTCCCTCTTTCACAATTCATCAAAATACTTCCGAAATTCCAATTCTATTCAATTTTTTATTATAATTCATTTCTGGATATTGTGATTTACCACTTTTTCACTACGCATTACTAATTAAGAATACCTACATTATCAAACATCTATGAGTTATCAATTCATATTTCATAATTGAAACAATTCTCTCATAGTAAAATCAGAGATAGTTTATGATACAAATAAATTGAAACATCAAAAATGATTGTGTTAATATAAAATATGTTATATGAGATAAAATTAATTATGCAAAAGGTTGATGATGATAAATCAATTAATAAAAAACTCATGTTTACAAGTTGGGCATGTTGTATGACGTTGAAACCATTATTTAATACATTCCATGTGAAACATATGAAGATGATGACATTTTAATGACACAACATTAGCTGATTTGTTTGTCAACTATTCTAAGCATATTAAACAGTCTATGTCAGTTGTTATATGTTTTACAGCCTTATAGATTGATAACTCTTGAGATGCAAATTTTAATTCTTTAAGTAGATTACCTTATTAATGAATTATGGTTGCGTTATTAGGTTAAGTTGGTATTCTGCTATTAGTTAACATTGATTAATTTTGAAATGAGGATTGATTTGTTGATAGTTCTTAGTTGCTTCCATGATAATATTTGTTGAATATTAAGATCCTACTTTTGTTACATTTCTGATAAATGATATATTTATAAATCAAAATGGTGAGCATTATGAATTGAAATATTCCACAATCGAATTCAATGAAGATATCATAATTCATTATATTTGTACTTTTATCAGATCTTTAATAACTTGATTAGCCAACTGTAGTGAATATTAAACATAAGAGTAATCCAAATTGAAAAAATGCATTTTTTAAATTATTCATCCATAAGATGGAATCTATAAGAATTTAAGAATTTTGGTAGCACTATTCTTCAAGTGCTTATTCTATAGAATTAATTATACTTAATACCAAAATTGATGGTGTATTTGATCTAGTTGAACGCCATGGCTATCAATATATGATAGAATATATTCGATGCTACTAAAACATAACAAGAACTATTTTTAGTAAGTATCATTAATAAACTGAGAACTATTAATTTTACTAAACTGGAAAAAATTATGGATCCGCTAATAAATGACCCAGAAGAGAGAGTTCTTTATTTAACTAAAATGTTTAATGTGTTGAATTACATGCACTATTATAACTATACTAGTATTCTATAATCTAGAGTTTCTTAATACAATATGCTAAGGGCATGATTAAAACTCTAGCGAACAGTAAAATCAACAAAATAACAATGATTGGCCAATCCATTAAAGTTAATTGCGTTAAATATGGAAATGAGCTGGTTTCAAAGTCTTCTATTCTACAATCCTTCTCTAAAAGGCATTTTAACTCAGAATAATTAAACTCTATATATTGATCTTCCATAGAATCATGACACAAGCAAATAGGTAGTGAACTTTGATCTACTTATACATTTAGCATTAATAGACAAAGAGAACAATAAAAAAGTATGATTTTAATCCATAAATATTGGGATTAGTTTGCAAATGCGATCACAAATTAGAATGTTGATTAATGTAGTACTAAATTAACTTCAATTTCTCGTCGAGATTATTCATTTATGAGTCCTGCTTTATTCTCAGCTTCAATAAACTAACAATATTGGTACAATAAGCAAACTAAAATAATCACCTTCAAGATTATCTCACAAGTGCAAAAATATATAATTTAACTGTAATCATTATTTTTGCTAGCTACAAACATACAAAAGATGATAGTTATAACAATGTAGATCATAAGAAGTTTATAAATAAAAAAAATTGGGCAAAAATTTACGTTAGATTACCCCTCTTTCTTATTTTGATTTTGTTCCCTATGTAAGCAAGAAAAATTAACCTATTTTATTCCGATTACTCCGGATCAGGATGGATTCTTTCCATTTAGAACGTAATTTTAATTAACAAACTTTAATTATTATTTAATTTTGATAAGACTAATGATTGGTTAATAAATGCAGTATTTAATCACTTTACTAATTAAAATGTTATCTAAAGAGATTTAATTCAGAGTTGATGAAATTTGTATTTTAAACCAAAACATTAAAATAATCACATATTATATTTAAATTAATCAAATTTTGAGATTAGTTTAAAATAAGTAAATTAGTATTGCTTCAAATAAAATTTATTATTTGAATCACTCAATTCAACATCTCAATCTAAACCTAAATTAATTAACAAATAAAAGAAATTTCACAGTTTCAATTAATCTATTTAATAAAATTGAAAATTCTCATTCGATAATTAACTATTCATGTGGGGTTTAATTTTATACATTAAAAATTATCTTTCTATAATTTATTATGAAGAATTCTATCAAAGTTGCTAATAAAATAATACATCTTGGAAATTATTTAAAATATCTTATTCTATTACTTAAAGGAGAGGACATAATATGACTACCTAAGACATAATTTCGCATTATTGAAGAATCAAGTTAATTAATATATTTAATAAAAAAATTTAAGATATTTTTCCATCTTTGATTAAAAGATCTTTTAGATAAATAATAAAACTTTGAATCATCCCCACCAAATGGGTTTAGGAGCTTCAGAGTAGTGTTTTTGTTGATTTTAGTCATGATTAGACAGTTTGTTTTAATACAGATTTTGAATTTAAGAAGATGAACTATTGATGTAGGGTATAGCATTCTATTGAATAACACTTATCTTGAGATTTTGTTATTTTTCAAGTAACTTCTTCTGTCTGATTCTTTCCATCTCTAGTATTTAGACTGAATTGCCATTGTGTTTAGGTTTATCATCATTTAAGGAATTGATTTATGTTGGTTAGTATGACTAGTATTACTAGAGATAGCTATCACTTTTTAGAGGTGGAACAGAACCATTGTGTCTAATCTCTTTTTGATTTTGAATTTTAGGTAGAAAGGACCTATTTACTAAAGATTCATCATAAGATTTATTGCCACTTTCGATAAGGTATTGTGATTTAGGAAGTTTCTCTTTAAGTAGCTTCAAGTTCTTCGGTAGTTTAATAGTTTATAGAAGCATCATGGAACCATTATGGGATGACTAAGTTTATTATGAAATTCTGCTTTCAGTAATGAATTGTCGAGCATTCCTCAATAGAATAGGATTGGCTAGCAATTGAGCACAAGACGGCCTAGATTTGCTTTGGACTTGTAAACATAATCCAATAATAGTCATCAATTCTCCACTGAATTTAGAGGGAATTCGTTCGAATAATCCTCTTTAGACTTTCTTGTACAAGCCTTCCATATTTTTGGCTTTGAAGGGAGGTTTAAGTGCAGCCATCTCGTATGCCACACAACCCAAACTCCAGATATCACTTTTGGCATCATAAGGCTAATCTCTCCAAACTTCAGGACTGGCATAATATGGAGTTCCTGTTTGAGTATATACTAAATCCTTTTTGGCCACCTTAGAAACATTCATGTCACCAAGTTTGTAGTTACTTTCATGAAGGAATACATTGGCTGACTTTAAATCTCGATGTAATATCTTCATCTGATGTAACGTTCGCAAAGCTATAAATTATGCAATCAAAATGTAAATACCTAGTAAGACTTAGTAAATCATCTTCCAGATTTCTATTTCCTAGAAGTATTGCTTTTGTTTAAGTTGCTATTAGATATGTTATTGTAAATCTCCTTAACCTGCATACTCCATTATAATGCACAAACATTAAGATTATTCATCATAGAATGCTTCTTTATAGGCTATTATATTTGGATGTTAAATGCTAGCCAATATCCGAATTTCATTCAAAGAGTTCTCTTTCTCTTTTTCTTTTAATTGCCCCATCCTTACTTTCTTCATCGCATACTCCTGTTGATCCGATTATCTTTTAACTTTCAACACTGTAGAAAACGATCCTATGGCATAAAATTGCATCTATTATTACCTTCTCCCAACTTCTCATATACAATGAAGTTTTTTAACATTATAAAATAAATTAAATGAAAATTACAGAACAGAGTTCAAAAGAGTTAGGTTTAATAGTAATTCACAAATTCCTACTGTTAATTTTATATATATACACAATATATAATTTATAACCATAAAGCAACAATAATCATAATTTATGGCAAAATGATATCATCTAAAAATATTATTCATGAAAAGTAGAGACCCAAGGAGTTAATCAAATGAATAAACTGGAAATGCTAGGGTGTATTAAAAAGAAGTTAATTTGATTTTCAATCTAAAAGATATCCTAACATTCCTCAAATACTTTTACTAGACCTTCAATTACGAAAGTCGCAAATTTATTTGGCCCTATACTTGATTACTATAATTTGATTTCTATTTACAAAATCGTATTAATTAATTTATCCATAATTTTAGATAGCATATTCAAATTCCAGAAAAAAGAAGTTCCAAAAGATTTGATGAGTTTCTTAGGTTTATTAATTGAAGATCAATTAATTCAGTAAGAGTCTTGATGGATTAATAAAGTAACGGATTGAGTGCATATGTTTAGAAGCCTGAAAAAACAATGGTAATAGTCTAATGTATATTAATATGAATATGAGATATATTTAAAATCATTTATTAAATAATTGGAATTTCCTTTTATTCATTGCATTAAAACAAGAATCAAAATATTTGTTATTAAGAAAATATTTTTTTTCTTCTTTGGCTTTGGTGTATCGACAGGTGTTCAAACACAGGCCATTCAATTCTCTGATGGTCAAACAGATCAAACCTTACAACACTGATAAATAAAATAAATACTTCTCTTGGACTCTCTTTGTGGTAGCTAATATTTCGTTGTTTTAATTTCTAATATTAATTTTATGCTGCCTCTAACGGAGGTAATGAAATGATTCTTTTCCTTGATCTCGTTGGAGATCTCGTGAATTATCTCGTTAAACTGGATTTTAATATTTTTCTGTTTAAATCAATAGCTTGGCTCTCTGTGTTCATTAAAATTTATATAATAATATTTATTTAATCACATTTATTCGCCATATATTTTATACTAAAATGGCTATAGGATTGATTCTAATTTGAAAATAATATAAAAATAATAATTATTATGTCATAAAATTTGAGTATTACATAATGGACATTTTTTATTTTAGACAAGCCAATCTGTAATACATTTCTTATGAAAGATGTGAGTGTTATGGCAATTTAATTACAGTAGAGGATCATCTGAACTAAGTACCATTGGTTGCAAACAAATGATGCAATCTGATTTCTCATTTTCATTTTAAATGATGCAATCAATATTTTTAACTTTCTTGAATGGAAGCTTATTTCTTGAATTCTCATAGATCTCATCATTCTACGATCTAAGAATCATATCCAATTAAGCCTACTCTGTGGACAATCGTATTTGTTAATTCTCAATCGTTTGCAATTACTGATCTTCAATACCCTAAGCCTATTGTTATTGTACAATATGGACATTTTCTCTATTGAATTAGGGAATGACCAAGTATTTCAGAATAGCCAAACCTAACAATATTAATTAAGTTATGGAACAATCATAGAATATGAAAATGTCAAAATTGAGGATCCCACTAAATGTATATATTTAAATTCTAAATAAGCATGTCCCCACGATTGTAAAAATGAAGGATGTGATTAATAGGATTTAAAATGCTTTCTTGGTTTGCATACTTCTTAATTTTGAATCTATTAACACTTGATGGTTGATGAATAGGGAACTGTCATTCTAAGGAGGTCTTTGGACTATATTAAGATGGGTAATATTGTATACTTGCAGAGATCTCATTGAATAAGGCATTGACTAGAGTTGCCATAAAGAAGTGGTAATAGATATTAGATCCTATTAGGACATATGAGGAAGAATTGGGAGTAATAAATATAGTGCACAAGATCATCATTTTTCCAATATGGTTCACAAGAAAGAGCCCACAAAATGCTTTACTCCATCTGATAACTCTCAGAACATCTATTGATTAAATTGAAAATTACTTAGATTGACATCAGTGTATTAATAACGAAGTACTGAACTGTTTCTGCATCTCAAATAGATTGTCAATACGATTTTCAAGGCTTCGTAAATAAAGAAAAGGGAAGCCAAGAATGAACAAAAGATAATTAAAGCGAGTAATAAGTTTCCTCTAATTTATGGTTTAGTTTAGTAATTAATTCTATCATCGTTATTTGTTTCATCTAGATCCTTATAATCTTCATCTTCACTGTATTCATCCTTTGATAAATTTGTCACGTTGCGAATGAGTATAAAGATAGCAAACACAATATATAAGTATGTCAATCTAATTGCAGTAAACTAAGATTAGTTTGTATAGAAAAAGAAGAATTTAATTGATGACTAGTACATCCATCTATTCAAATACCTCTCTTGGGGTACTTTTTTCAGCCTTTCCTTTGCATCAGAAAATTAAAGTTGGACGTACAATGTGCATCCAAAGAGAACAACTAACAAAGGAATCATCAAAATTCCCACTAAAAGTAATTATTAGGATTGTCTATATTTATTGGCGACAACAATAGAAATAAGCAGAGTTATCACAATCACTACCATTAAGAAATAAAGCAGAAAAGAGATTACTCGAAACTAAACAGTTGATTAGAAGGCTTATTAAACTTAATTGCTTAATGAATTTTCGAGTTAACTTTAGTAACTAAATAATTACTAAAACCTACTTGTTTTACTAACTATCTCTCAAGTTATTAAGCATTTTATTTTTTAGTAATTAAATTACAAGATTGTGAAATAATTAATTATGAGTTGTGATCAATATATTAACAGGAACTCATATATATATGCGTGATATATTATCAAATAAATTATATTATTAATTGTCTAATTATTCAACACCAAAAGGAAGAAACATCAGTTTGGATTACCTTTAAGACCTGTGTGTAGAATTGATAATTAATTAATATTATAAAATTAGTATCTTAAGCAGTTTAAATATAAGATATGGTATATTTTATTTCTTATATTAAGTTATTCAAGATCTTAATAAAAGTATTTTGAAAGTATTGATAAAATATTTAAATTATCTAGTTAAATAGGGATTGGGCTAATAATTGTTAACAAATATTTTAGACTAGTAGAAGTACTCTTGGTTATGTTTAATAAAAGGGGATAAATCTGTTATTTTATTTTTTACAATGTAAAAGTAAAAAGTGGAAAAACGATTATTAATAATTTTAATATGTACAAATCAGTTCTTATATGCGCATTGCTATTAACAGCATATGCTGGACACGTGAGAAAATCACACGGTGCAGTTCACTAGAAGAGAACATTCAATAGTGCATTCATGGAATTTGTAAATTTGGGGGACAGCGATTACCATCTGAATCCAAAGGAAGCTCGTATAAAATTTGTAAATTGAATAGAACACTGGGCTCAAATAACTTCAGAGGATGTGAAGCACGAGAACAAAAAACATAAATCCTTAGTTGAAACTCATGCTGAGTATATTCCAGGTGTTGTAGGATAGGTTACTGATTTATCTAATAATGCTGGTGTTTATTCATACACAGTCACAGATTCAAATGGAAATATCATTGAGTAAGATTCTGGTGATCATTTGGCCAAGTAATTTAATACTGCATATCTTCAAATGACCCAAGAGATTGAGAGAGGTCCAGCTATGGTCAAATTGTAAACAGACTTGGACAACATTATGAGAGAAGATTAGATGGAGTAAGAACACAAAGAGGAACAATAAAGATAAGCATTGGAAGGAACAGCATTGTCAGAATAAGATTGATGATTCATATTCAAAAACATATATACAAATTGAAATTTATTATTATAATAAAATTAATAATGAAGCCTAATCAAAAAGTGTTTGATCATCTTAAGACTTATGACTATTACTTGCCAACTCATTTGGATTCTGTATAGAAATGGTACAAAACAACTCTCATTATAATTAAAGGTTTTATGAAAAAATGGTTGACAATTTGGGTTTAGGTGAAAGTTTTAGAACCTCATTTCTGAGCCAGATTTCTAAGATTGGACAATTAGCACATAATGAATAGCAATTTAGACAATTATTAAAAGATACTTGGTTTGGTTTTTTTAATTAAAAGCCTTTGTCTTGTATTTGCCCAATGTTTGACAGACAGGAACAGAATGAAGTCCTTGACTTTATGTTGAATGTCTTAATTGAACCTAAATAATACGAAATCTCTTATATAGATGAATTGCTCTAATTATATGAATATTATTTACAAGGAGTAAATAGTAGAATTATTATTATGTTTAGAACAGAGGTGTTGTTAGCATTGTAAACAGGACAAAATTTAGGATGATTCTGAGTAAATTGATTTGCAGTAAGTTTATTCTGAGTCAAGATGAAAGATACCAACCTTAAATTAAACAATATTTATTCGATCTATATCTAAAGAAAATTGAGTAATTGGATGAAAAGGAGAGAATCCGAGTTGAATAAATCACCAAAGCCAATCTCTTTCACATTTTATTTGAATTATTGTTTGATCAAACTGAAGGATAGGGAAATATATTTAATCATCTTAAACGAATAGTCTTAATCCTATTAGATGAGCAATCAAATACATTTGTATCCTTTCAAATTTTTAAGAGTTTCTATCAAATGTATTTAGAAAAGGAGAAATTCCTCTTTGATAGAATTGATCCCAGATCTAATATAGATTATAATCGAGTTGCTCTTGAATTACATTAAAATTATATTGAAAAAAAGGATCTAAGAGAAGCCTTAAAAACTATTATCTACCGATCAACCTAAAGCACTGATTACAAATTAGTTCTACGAGAATTAGTTACCAGAGACATCTACAGTAAAGATAATGAATAAATCTTTTTTTCTCTCTTCAAAGAATTCGATCAAAATAATTAGCTAAAATATCACAGACAATAACCTATCGATCATGATCTAATCTAATAAATTAAACTCTTAGGATTTAATAAATTGGATAAAAGAAATGAAATTGAATTTGATAACTTCAACTTCTCAATCAATCTAACAGATAATAACATTATTGTTGTAATCAATAAAAGAACTAAATAAAAAGCTAAGTGTTCTAGCATTAAAGAACTTCATACATTTATGCAGAATTCCAATATTTGAGTATTAAATAACTTTACTATTCTAAATACTTATCTTATGTTTATACGTCTCTCTTTTGATATCTATTTTATGATATAAATCTTAATATTCAAATAATCATGTAATGAAATATATTCCAATGGATATCCAATTATTGCGATTGAATATAAATATTTAAGATAGAGTGACTCAAAATATTGTATTAATTGATAGGTTTTAGAATAATATTGTATATTCAGTAGAAGATGTATTGAAAATGGAATTTAATATGAATATTTGTAGATCATTTTTGATGATTATTATAGTGTATATTTTTATACTAAGTAGATAATATTTAAATATAATTGAATGATGTGTTATAGGTTCATTTTTAATTCCAATTAGTTAAAGTAAGTTAAGTATTGATTACTTAAGCTTGCGTTCCTTATAACATATGTTACAAAATTTCCTTAGTATATTTAAGTCTAAAAGTAATTAAATAAACACTACCTCTTTGTCATTTCATGATTCTATGATTCTAAAGCGGTGCTCAATGGGAAATTCTGTTTTTCTCCTTTTTTGTTAATGTAAGTGACAGATTTTGTATCAGAGTTTAGAATGATGATGGTTTTGTCAGTGAAATCAACTTAAACTACCTTATTAGACAATCTAAACATAACAGCATGTTTAGTTTTCATCCATTTTTTAACATAAACCATAGGAATTTTGTTATCATCAGATTGATCAATACCATCTTTATCAGTGCTATCTGTATCAAGATATCCTCTGAAATGTTCGAGCAATGTCACTTTCTTTTGTAAATCTTTTGGATAATCATTTAATGAATATGAATTGACTTCATACTATTAATTATCTGATTATTTTTCGATATACTCAAAATACGTTTATTTTGGGTCTGCAATTATTTTACTTGAATCATTGAAATACACACCACTGCTACCATTATTCAATAAATAACCGAGTCCATATTTACTACTATAATCGACCCATTTTTTAACAAAGATCTCATTTCTTTAAATTTTAAATGTTTTCTAGAATATAATTATTGTTATATACATTATTCATGTTATTAGTGATTCCAGTGGGTAATGTTTTGGCAGATTGTTGAGTGGCTCTCATATCAACTAATTTTTAAGAGGATGCTCGAGAATCTTTCATAAAATTATTTTAAGTTTGAGCATCATTCAAAAGTGATACTCTATCTTGACTAATGACTTTCATTAATTATTAAGGTGCTGTATCAGCTAACCTTTTTTATTGAGACGAAGACGATTGAGTAGATTAATATTGTGACAACCATGACATAGAAGGTGGACCAACTAAAGTTGAAATATGGGCAGTTTTTGGAATTGGATTGGAAGTCATAAATGGATGTTGTAGGATTTAATCTAGAGTGGGTCTTTTACTTGGATCTAGGACGAGCATTTTAGTGATTAGATTTTTAGCATGATCTGAAATGACTACATGGTCAGGGAATGTGTATTAACATGCCTTGATTTTCTTGTATGTAGTTTTGACATCTTGAGTTTCAAAGGGAGGTTTTCCAATGAGAAGAGTGTAGATAATGACACCTAATGACCAGATGTCCACTTCATATGAGTGACCTATTTTGCCATCCAAAATTTCTGGGGCTATGTAATTGGGAGTACCGCATATCGTTTTCTTCTTTTCTCCATCAAAATCTAGTTTGGTGGCCAATCCGAAATCACCCAATTTTAATTCCATTTTGTCATTCAAAAACAAGTTCCCCAATTTCAAATCTCTGTGGATGATTTTATTTTGGTGAAGATATTTAAGAGCATTGACCAATTGTAATATATAGCATTGCACTTCCAATTAAGTTATTCTTCTCCTTCTCTTAATTAACTCATTTAGTGTCTTAGAAGATATCATCATATTTATACTTGATTCGTACATAACTCTAAAATGATATAAACATTGTCATGATCTTCAAATACATGGATAAATTAAACTATGTTGGTTTAATGTAACGATTTGTGTATTTTGATTTCTGATATCAACTACAAAATATATATCATTAACTTACTTTTTATCTTGCTCTGTTCCTTGTCAAAGTATTCTTTTAAATAATCTTAGCAGCCAATATTTTTTTTGTATCTATTTCAGTAATCTCGTAGCATCTAGCAAACCCACCCTTACCTAAGGTCTTTCCTCTTTGATATCTTTTAATTATCACGTCTCCATTAGATTTTGAGATCTTTTCTTCAATTATTACATTCTCAACTGTTGCTTATTCTTCCATTTATTTTTATATATATTATAATTATTTATATTATTACATCACTATATAGATTTATTAATTATCATTGCTCATCGAATTAGTTTTCCTTGATGTTAAGATCGCATGAATTTAAAGCTTGAAAATCATTGTTGAACATTTATTATTATTGGAAGTAATTAAAATTTAAATGCATCTGCTGTTGGGGCATGAAATTAAAATTGAAACAACAAATGTTCTTGTCATCCAATTATTAAGGTAATTGTTATTGCAAGAGCATGCACTGTTGAAAATACAACTGCTATTACTCATTAAACTTTTCATCCTCCTTCAATGGATTATCAAATACAGGAACATAGGGGAAGTAAGGAATCTATAACATTTAATATTCCTATACATTGATTAGAGAATTACCAAAGGTTATTACTAAAATAATTGATGCTGAATTTGCAAAGATTACAAGAATGCATTTTCATCATTCTTCGTTATTTTCTCTGTATTTTATTTCTCCTTTTTCCTCTTTTATCTCTTCTTGATTTGATGAACAAAAGGATTGAACTTCTAATGATGAGATCTAAATAATTCTTATGAAATCAGGAACCTGCATTGCGATGGACTTCTAGTACCAATGGTCTCACTCATCAATTTAAATATTTTGCTTGTCTTCTTTTGGTCTTGTGATTCCATCACAGATCTATGCATATTCAAAAAATCGATATATGTTTAATGTTCCAATTCACTCCAATGACCTGTTTATTAACTGGGATTTGTAATTACTCTTTTATTATTCTTTCTCTTCTTTTAACCATCCTAACCTTCTTGAATTCCCTCCTCCTTCGGCCAAAATTCATCCTGGCTCATTTGCTTATTAATATTAATATATATATAATCAACATTATTTTATTATTATCATTCCTAAACATAATCAATATCACCCCAATCAATCCACACCATTTCTATGACTGCAATTCTAGAATACAAATTAATTAATTATTTATTATTAAAATGCAAACAACACCGCCATTCTCACAAAATCACACTAATCCTCTATTGACCAAAGATGATGTAGGCAAGTCCAAACCCTCAACATACAATCTCCCTAATCAAGACTTTGTCTATGGACACCCTTTGGCAAGGGATAAGGAAGGAGCCAAAGAAGGTAAATAACAATCCTTACTCAGTTACCATGACTTGGAAATTCCACTAAGAATCCCAAGACAAAGTGCCCAACAGAGATTTTGCTGAATTAAACAAATAGTCCATTCATAATGGGTCTGTCAAAGCACATGTAACTGTACATTCTATTCAGGATATGTATAAATTTAGATAGACACACGATGCCAGGTTAAAACTTAAAAAGGGTACCAACATACAAGCCATAGAATTGCCAGAAGAAGAATTCAGATATGGTCGTAAAAATAGGTTCATTTCAATATATTTACATTAGACCATCCACACCCATGAAATTGGTTATGGGTAACTCCTATGGAATTGAGGCTGAATCCACGATATTAGAGAAATACTAAGTTAGAGCAAGCTCATAAGTAACTATAATCTAAATAAAGGATTCCAAATTATCCTCATCAATAGTAAAGAGTAACAAAGCATCTTAATTGTTTTATGATACAAATCATAAAAAATTAGCTGCTATTCGAGGAGTGGAGAAAAAGGAACCATTCAAAATGGAAAAGTTCAAAACTGTCAATTCCAAAATCAATACCAATTTATCAACTAAAAAATGATTATTCATTAAAAGTAATCATTATCATCAAACTTCTTATTTAATTTCGAACGATTCCCTTTTTTCTTAAATGCTTATTATTGGTGCCTTTGTTAATATTGAAGCCTAAACCCAGGGCTCATTCAACAGATCCTCTTACACATAATGTGTTTTGAATTCTCCAAATGATTTTGTTGGCTTCTTTTATTATAATATTTTGAGATACTTTCTTTGAATACAAAGATTGTGCTGATAAATCAATCTCTTCAATCAACAACTCGAATCCTTGGAATTTCGATGTATAAATCTTATTCTTTTTAGTCAACTTATTCTTTATAACTTGTAAAAATTCAACTGCCAATTCCCTCTAACCCAATATGCTCATCGAGGAAATAAATCGTTGGATCCTTACCAGATTTTGCGTATAGGAGTATATGCATTGATCAAACTATTGTTGATCTAAGATTTATAATTATTAGCTTTCATCTCTTCCAATCCCTAAGAATCTCTAAAACATACTGACGTTATCCAAATACTATTTCATAATCTACGCTATAAATAATCATTATTACTGATTCATCCTCTATGAAACTATTCCTTTCCTTGATTGACAATCTAAAACTAGTTGTGTTGAAAAATGATTAGAAGAAATTCGGATAAAGCCATTGCATAAATTGCTTATCTGATTCTAAATCTGAATAAAACTTAATCCATTGATATTGTTAATTATAGGATTTCCAATGTCTCATGTGAAATTAGATCTAATTATTGAGCTAAAATGGGTAGACACCTCTATAAAAATCTAAATTTGGATTCTCTGACATCTTTGGCTAAATTGTTGATCTCCCAAATTAAGGATCTTTCAATTCTTCTCGTGATTCACACATTCCCATTTTAATTATAATATATTAATATTTTATATGTAATTTTCCATCTATTTTGTTTATATAGCAATTTACAAAAAGAGAACTTTGATAACTGAATGAATTGAATAACTATCATATTTATTTTGCATTAGTAAATAAAACAGAATTTTAGCTTAATTGTTCAAATTGGTCTCTTTTATTATTGTATTCCATAACTATTATTTATATAATATTAATTGATTTAAATAACTTCTATTATAATCATTGGATAAGAATGTATAAATATTTATATTCTGATTATTTGAAAGAATTAATATTATAAAATCAAGAAAACCTATCTAAATTCTATAAATCTGGATACTTTTTCTTAAATGAATTGATCAATTCCTTTAATTTCCCTTAACATTGATTAAATTCGAACAAATTTATCTCAGATATTTGTGTAATTCGTTTACTCTATAATAATTAATAGGATAAGTACAAATTAATCTATTATTTGATCTTAATGCTGGTAATCTTTCGAAATAACAAAATCGCATATTGAATAAAAAAATGAACTGGCAGCTAAAGTATTGGCGTGAAAGGTATTCATCGTATAATCATGAAGACACATCTTTAAGATGTAGATGCTTGCTTCTAATATGTTCTACAAATTAGTACTAAAGTTAATAATTGTTATTCTTACTCATTGTTTACACTGAAACATTAATAATAAAGATTATAAAGTCTATCAAGAATAGTCGGGAAAGTGATTTCATAATTCAATGTTTCCAATATCATTTGCTCCGCAGCTTTGACTTTTATTCTATATTATAATAATTTAAAATTACGTAGAATATTTATTATGACCAACTCTTTAGACAAAGTCTTATAAAGGGATATGATAGATGTCTTCCAATTTTGTGGCTATGAACATGCTACTCATTCCAATGAGATGCAGATGCTGATCAGAGTATTAAGTATTAGATTTTGATAGGAAGTAGTCCATGATAGAGACAGATCTAAAAAATGTGGCATTGGTAGTAGTTTCATTATAATTTCCTAAGACTTCAATCATCCAATCAACCATTCGACTTCTTAATTGTTACGAAACCTTATGATTTTGTAGACAATTTCCGAGATAGACATTCTCCTACTGAAGTGAATGTTGAAATTCTTGGTAATAGTGTTTATTATATTGCAATTACCTCCTTAATTAAGAATTGTTGGGATCATCTGTAAGAGCCACTAAAACATACTAAAATTGGATACATTTCTATTGTTCTAAGGACAGGGAATTCAAAGTTAAATTGAATATAGACTTTTATTGGAGTTCCTCTAGTTCCATGATAAAGTTCAACAATTTGCCTTCTTGAGGATACTAATTCTCTTGATCTATTGATTAATGACTTGTGTTAAGTGAAGAGAATTATTAAGATTTATAATCCTTATTTATTTTGAGTTGAGGAGATGGGGCATTCTAGGTTTTAGAGATCTAATTTTCTAATATCATAACAATAAGACTATGTGTTTTTGAGATTTAATTTTATAGAGCATAAATAGTAATGTTTTTAGTCTCAATAATCTTTTTTCACTCTAAATTTATAGAATAATTGTATGAATTGATTTAATTATGTTAATATTGTGAATCATTTATAATTAAGTGCAATGTACTTGACTGCAGCCTTCATCATGTCTGTTTAGAGTTTGGCATATTGATTGGTGACTGAAGTGGGTACGTCTCCTCTTGGATCAAAACATTAGAGAGTCACAATCTTAGTCATTTGATTTTATTATGGAATGATGATCCAGCCACTGAGATGCATTTCAGCTCTTTCGACTTTATTAATTGCAGGAGTCTTTTGATGAATAATTGACTTAGCTAATGATATTGACAAAGAGAGTACAGCATACAATATAAACTCCGTCATTTTGTTTATAAACCTTCTAAACCATAACTAGATCTCTGCTACTCATGAATGGGATGGGTGGTTTGATTCTCACATAAATAACTCTGGTGTTGGCATCTATTTATTCAACCACATGAGCCTATTATTATTATGTGGAAAACATACAGTTTCCACCTTTTCATCATATAATGGTCGTTTATTGACATCAGCAACCAAATCTAGAATCTACTCGGGGGTTCTGGCAATTTCCGTTTGAGATCTATTCATATTGATACCATTTTCTGGATTCTTCTTGGTATATACAATGTATCCTTCTTTGTTCGAAAATAATTCCCACATGTTCTGTTCATTTATTTCCTGCCACTTCATCATTTTGTTTTTAGCCTCTATTCCATCAAATTATTAAAGTACCGTCAATGATAGCTTCGTAATTTACTTACATAAATAATATATAAATTTGTTTTTATCAATTCAACAATATTTAAATCGATGTGTATTCCACAATTATAATATTTAATATTGTGTTATTGTTTATTGCTGCATTTATCTTACAAAATAAAAATGAATAAGAAACTCCTAACTTAATCACAATATTCATTCCTAATTATTATGATTAATGTCATAGCAAATTAAATCTCTTGATTAATATATATAATCAATTCTGAATCACACTCCTTAGATTACATATAAGTGATGATCTTCTTTTGGAATCAACATCATTTTAAAACCTAAATTTACATTATAATTACAAGAAAATTATAATTATAACTTAAATGGACATGCCAGAAAAAATTAAATCATATAAGGGTATTTATACAATTGCATTTATTTAGTTACTTTTGATGGAAATACAGCAGTTGGAAAAACACATTTATTCAATAGGTTTTGGTTGTATTTTATAAAATTAAAGACTTGTTTGGAGAAAGCTGCCAAAAGTAAACCAACCAAGTATTGGTATTGAGTATGATTAAAAAAAATACTAAGTATCAAATAATTAGACAGTAAATCTACTTTATTGGGATACAACTGGGTAGGAAAGATATAGGTAGGTTGTATTAGAGTATGAAAATGTTGATATTTATATTAGTCATCAATAAAAAGCAAAAGGGGTTTATTTAGTTTATGATATCACAAAAAGTCAACTTTTGATGAATTAGAAAATTGGTTGAATGATGTAAAATCCAAGGCAGACAATGTTGTTTTTATCATGTTAATTGGTAATAAATTGACAAGGTGGCTGACAATAATAAATCAAGAGAAGTTTCATTAGAAAAAGCATAAAAATTTGCTGAAATGCATAAATTAATATTCATGGAAGTTAGTGTATACTCAGATGAGGATATTGAAAAATGTTAAACAAGGATGGTTGAAGGTAATACTTGCATTATAATCTAGAAATTTATTATACCATATTAACAGATTCAAAATTATTTTCTAATTTAATTTTTTAATATGTTCACATAGAATCAAATTCTATTAAATTGTAAATTAACTAAATACATCTAAATATTGAATTTTGATTCAAGGTTGTAGTATAAATAAATATAGTGAAAGAAATGTTGAATAAACAGCAAAGAGGAGAATTAGTGGAGAAAATAATAAACCTAATTTCTGATAATTTAAGAAATGTGAAAGATTAAAATTAGTCATGTGAAGCCTTTTTTTCTTCTTTAGAATTTGATGACCTTAATAAAACTTAAATTTATTCCCCAGAAATCTATGATATAAAGGAGCTGTGGTTTGCTTTAGAAAAAAATAGAAACTGGTTAATCAAAGGAGTACAAGATGAATTGGAACTTTAAGTTGATTAACATAAAGCTATTCTAAAATAAAATAGTTCAATTAATAAAACTGAGTAAATCATCAATGACTCAAATATTGGTATTGAGAAAGTATGTAATGAATGCTAGATAAATAAATTTCTTTTATCCGGTCTAAGGGATGAATACATAAACCAACTTTTTCAAAATAAAAATGCACCAAATTAAACTAAGATTAAAATTATATAAGATTTTGAAACTTTAACAAATAAATTTAAAGGTATGAAAGACATAGATGGGGAAGGAATTATTTAAGATATGCAGAAATTTTTTTTTTAATATGAACCAGATATATCAGAAATTGGTTAAGAATAGAGTTTAAAGGATTAAAATGAGTATGAGGAATCAATTTGTAAGGAATTCATTAGTTTAAAAGGCCTGGAGATTAATTTGGGAAACATTTGCTAATAAATAGGTTTTAAAGAATAATCTGAAAAATGCTAAGCCTTATGCTTTAATTAAAATGATAACCTGATTGCCACTGCAAAAAATAATTCAATAGTGATTTGGAACTTTTTAGAAGGTTAAATGGAGTAAATTGCTGAGTTGAATGGACATAAGGGTGAAATAAGTTGTCTCCTTTTTGATAAGAATTCAGATACCCTTATATCTGGAGGAGGAGATAATGATTGTAAAATCAAAATTTGGAAACGTACTGAATAAAAGATATGGGAAGAATAGGGAAGTTAATAATTGAATGGAGGTGCAAAAGTCATGTGTTTGAATAAAAAGGGAGATAAATTATATATAGGGACTTAGAAAGCATAAATTGCAATTATTGAAGTCAATTTTAAAAACTTTGTTCTAGGAAACCCTAAAATTCAAGAAATTGATAAAAATTCAAAACCTATATTTGGACTGAGTCTCAATGAAGATGAAAATTATTTGGTGTTATGTGGAATGGATGGTTGCTTAAGGTTGTTTTCTATTCGTTAGGAACTAATTGAAATAGACAAATTAGATTGTAAAGTTTATGGAATGAGGGTTAAATTTATTGACAATTCATCTTTTTTGTTGAATCAGAGGGATGGTAAATTAATTTATTATAAAATTTAAAATAATAAATTATAAAACTAACAAACAGAGTTTAATTTAGTATCAGGAAATATGGATCATATATTTACTCCTATTTGGCACGACCCAAACAGAAATTTATTCGTTGTTAAACATAATAGATGCATTCACTTTTTAAAATAAGTTAATGGAAGATTTGAAAAGATAGGTAAATTAGTATACAAATATTAATTATTATTTGCCACCGTATCAAATAATGGAAGGTTTTTGGTCACCTGGATAGGCAAACCTGAAAATTAATCAATTCAAGGTGAAAATCAATATTAAATGTATGAATTAAAATATTAATGATTTTCGGTCATTTTTTTTTATTTGATTTTAATACTGCTTAATACTTAATTAATTCCAATTTCTAAAAATCAGAATGATAAAAAACTAAAAATATCTATATTTATACAATAGGTATTTTTATAAAATTATTTAATTTTTATGAATCAAAATATAAATGAAATTAATTATAAATATGTTACAATTCTATTGATAAATATAACTACCTTTTCATATATCTAATACATATTTGAGATTGGAAATCTTCTCTTAGCTAAAAATAATTATATTGTTATGTGTGTTTTAATATATAAAATATATTGAATCTTTCATTCATCATCAAAAAATGTAATAGCTTCTTGTCCTAAAGTTGTAAATCTGTTGTATTTGGTATTCATTATAACAGTGACGAAAGTACCTTCATTGTGGACAGGAAAAGTGTTCATTACAGCATAAATGCCAAACTCATTCTTTAGATTAATTTTCATTTTTTAAAGTAAATCCTCTGCAACAGTTCTTCTGGGATCCTCCTCTGGATCAACTTCCCAATGATCATAATTTGTTTAGACTAAGTACGTAATTCCACTTGCGGTGTTTAATTTCAACGATGGAATGGTTTCCTATGGTCCTCGTGTAATAATAGTACCTTAATCCTTACTACTACCACTCACGATATAATATAAACCACATCCTACCTCATGAGTCTCAAGATACTATACTACTTTTTCATAAGTGTTGAGTTTGTCATTTGTTAAAACCTCTCTAAAGGACTAAGTCAATGATGGTAATCCACTTTAAATAAATAACATAACTGATTATTTTGTTAATCTTTTATCAATTCTCCAATTTTCTTCAAGACTCGCAACATTATATTTCTATGCTGTAATAAATCCACCTTTGAACCAATACCAATCGACTACTTCTCCAATATATTTTCCATCCTTTTTAATGAATAAATGCAACACTAGATTTCTACCTTATCCTGGTGCTTAATCCATATTTCTTCCATGAATTACTTAGTCACCTGCTGATAACAAAACTCCTGTGCACTCTTAAAATTAATTTGTAACATGTGCTATCTCATGGAAATATGCCCATCCAGCCATATATTCGAAGGTGATCTCTGGTCTATTCAATGCTTCTACTACCCCTTCCAATTCTAATGCATGTTCTGGAAAGTTCTTTCTTAAAAAATATGCTATTGTATCATAGTCATCTTTGTTTAATATATGAAAAGAATGTTGATTATGAAAAGCAAATACTGAACCAAAGGAATTTTAATATCCATGTAATTCAAGGACTGTTTATACTGCCTTCATCCATCTCTATTTTGGTGGGGCATTCAAGTCAATTTCCAGTTAAGGAAGATAGGAATAACAAGATATTATTGTGAATAGCTGGAATAATAATAATGTCTAATGCATTCAATAAATATTTACAATTTTGTTTTTAATTATTTTTATACTATATGATGACTTCATCTTAATAGTTTAATGACTTCATTGTTAATATGAGTATTCTGTACTTGTCTCATGCATTCATATGATCTAAATTTATTTGGTATTTGTAAGAGTTCATTATTATTATAATTAATCTAAGAAAAACACTTTTATTTTAGTTTGATTTAATTATTATATAGTTAAATTTATTATTAATCATTAAATATGAACATTTCAGAAATATCACTATTCATATTCTCTCACCAGCATTTATATTAAATTAAGAAAATATTCCTAACCCAAAGGTTACTATATTAATCGTTAAACTAAATTTGAGACGTAAATTTAAGTCTACTATGTTTTATTTAATAAAATCAAAAATAAAGTTAACTATATAAATGATCTTAGAAATATTTTCTAATTTAGTATTTGATCTTTATTTTCTTAGAATATTTGAATACTTGTTTCTTTGAAATATTGGTAATTTACAAAAAAGGAGATTATTATTGTCAAAGAATAAAGATAAGTAACATTAATGATTATTTAAGAATTATGAATTAAAACCAAGGACTAATTAATTAAAACCATAATTAATAATTTAGATATTTAAAATTTCAATAGTCACAATTTACTTTTTAATTTTTCTATTTTATAATTGTTAACTTTTGATGATATGATCTATATTTTTTTGTAAATTTGCTTACATAAGACAAATGATAAACTAAACATTAAGATACCAATATGAAAAAATCCAACATTTACAACAGTTTGATAGGGGAATAGATTCTCTTTATAATATATGTAAGAAGTTAAACTATAAAGTGCTACAGTTGCTTCTGTAACTATGTTAACAAAGTTATCTAATTTGTTAACTTATTAATATTTTTAAATAAAGTAGCATTGAAAAATACTGTTTATTGCTATTAGTAAAGACTGAAGTATTGAATGATTTTAAAAGAAAACTAACACTACATGAAAGAAGGATGTTCTAAAAATATCTAATGATTCATATCTTATTTAAAGGGAATTCTTTTTAGAATTCACATTCCAAAAGGTGCTTTTGCTATAAGATTAAGTACAGTATTATTATAGAAAAGCTGAGAAAATATTAAGAGTGTTCTCTTTCGTTCTATAGTTTATTGATATGAATTTGTAGTAGTAGTTTAAATAAAATATCCCAAGCATTTAAAGATAAAATGGGCATGATTAATCTCAAACTAAATTAATACCTGTATTTTATAATATCCTGTATTTATTATCCGACCTGTAAGCAAATTCTACTAATAACTTTTTACCACTCGATAGATTTTGAAAATCGTATTTAAAAATCTGAGCCCAAATGAAAATTTAGTACTTAAGATGAATTGTCTTGCTATTAAGAATTAGAGTTAAAAGTATTATTAATTGGGGCATTGAGGAATTAAATTAAGAATAAGATCGCAATCTACATCATATTATGCGAACTTTCCATCAAGTATTATTTATTCTTCTTCCTTGCTTGTAATGACACCTAGAACATAATCGATTTACAAATTCGATAAATAGTTAGAAATTGATAACATTTCTGAGCTTTGAAAATAAATATATGAATTTTCTGGATATTCAAGATTAATAAATTTGAGATAGGACTAATACTAAAGTATGTTCAAGGCTTCATTTAATAGGGTGGAATCACCAAAAATGAATGATACAGAAGATATAGTAATTGCAGAGATCATAAATGCTTTGCTTGTTTTACTGATAGCAACGCTTCTGGATTTAAGCTCATCACTTAAAATCCTAGGCTCTTAGAGGAAAATAGATTGATTTGGTTCAATAATAGTTTGATTATTGTAGTTAATAACAGTTTAAATTAGAGTAATCTATAAAATGGGTTCCTCTTAGAGATCTAGAAAAATTTCTATGTCAGCGACATATTAAACAAATTATAAATCATATGTGATGTCTCTGATAGGATAAAGTTGTATTTTATAATATTCTTCACTTAAATTTTGAATTTGTATTTCGAAAGGTGAAAATTAACCTTTATTAGGCATTTTTGCATATTGTATTTGTTAATTAAAGTTAATCTCCACATATTAATGAGAGAAAGTTTAATTTAAATAGATTAGACTCATTTTTGGTTTAAGAGAAAATGCACATTCATCATCAAGGCAAATGTAATCCTAATTATATCTTAAATGATTTGAATCTCCATTATCTACTAGGATACTTTATTGTTTAACACATTTATTCTAATCTAATGTATATTCATCAAAGCATTCTTTACAAATGCCATTCAAGCAGATATTGCAAAATTAATGACACTGAAATCGGCAGTTTGAACATCCATCATAATCTATATGATTTCCATCATCACACTCTTCATCTCCATTTTAGATAGCATCCCCACAACATGATTTATTTATCCATATAGATCCTAAGGGACAAGTTTCAATAAGGCATACTCCTTTATCGCACAACTCACATTACTTATTGCATTGAAATCTACAGTCAAAACAACCATCATATGGAATTATATTAGTGTCATCGCATTCTTCTTGGCCTGTCACAATGCCATCTCCGCATAAATTAACACAACTATTGGTACTACTTTAATAATAGAAGCCAGCTTCAGCCTCACAATATTTTATAAGTTCACATTTTCCTTTAGACTAGACCAAGACTAATGGTTCCAAACATTGTAAACATTTTCAAGGAAGCAAAATCTGCAATCAACTTGACATTAAAATTAGCATTCAAAGCATCCATCAAATTCTATATCATTTCCATCTTCACAAACTTCATTAGGAGCTAATATATTATCACCACAAATAGGCTGACAAGTATTGTTACTTTCATCTAAATAATATTTAGTTAGCATTGTTTACAAACTCCAAAATCGCACCATTAACAGAATTCTGAACATATTAATTTACAATTATAACATTTGTTAGTAAGATTACTTTTACCTTCATCCCATTCTTCTTCAGGTACATCAATTTTATCTCCACATTTTGGTTGACACATTTTACCATAATAGTCTAATTCACATTCGATACAAGTATTAAATTTGACAAATCTTACAATTCTAGGAAAATGTCTCAATTTAAATCTCTGAATTTATTATAAAGTCAATAAATGATTGACTTTATCTAAGCTACAGAATTAGCAATTTGATAGAAATTATTAGTTATTTCCTTACACTTCAAGCATTCTCCTTATACACAATTCAAACAAGAATCTTAACAGCTATAATTACAAAAATGGCATCCATCCCCAATTATTAAATTTCCATCATCACATTCCTCATCAACAGTTACTATCTGATCTCCACAAATAGAATAACAAATATGATCCAAGATCTTATATCCAACATATATCGTCAACATTCAGGGTAGATCATAAATTTTAAATAATCCTACAATAGTATTGAGAATTAAACTGTATCACATTATAAGCAGGACGACTAACACTTTATTTGATAATTCTAGCACCCTTTATATGGCAAGATGAAACTGGATTCGCACATTTGCTTTTTCCACCAATAAGTTATCTTGACAAATAGGTTCGCATATACTCTTCTTGAGTTGATACCTGAGACTTCTCACCTTTC